GGATCTTTGGGAAAAAATAAAAACCAAAATCATTCTGTTCAGAACCCCAATAGTGAAAATTCAGAATTCTTAAAACGTATTTATCAACACAAAAAGGAATTCTTAATTTATACAGATTTTAACAATTTAGAGCTTTAACAAGTAGCTTCAGTTTTTTCATTTTTTTGAGAAATATGCTTTAGAGGGCATTGTATTTGTTGTATCAGTTCATTCTACCTCATTGCTGGATATCTTCTGTATATCTTATATTTGGTGGAGGATAGAGGTTTTACAACACTTATTTGTTGATGTAAATGGTGTTCTGTGAACATTTTCAGGATCCAAGTTTCTCTAAGTTCTTAGAAAGGTACAAGGAGGACATTGAAGCACTGCAAAATGGAGACGTGGTAAGTAATTTCAAAAGATGTTTTCTTGATAGCTTCTGTGTGCAAGTTTTATTGTTTGCTAGTGATTTTGGTCTTCCAATAGTGTAGTGCTCTCAAAAAGATCTAGCTCATATCTCTGCACAATAAATCTGTTCATATCTTCCTTTGCGAGAAGCTGATGATATATTCAAATGACTTATTAGAAAAATGCAGAGAGTGCTCGGGTGAGAGTTATACTTGGATGGTGACCCCCTGGGAAGTCCTCTTGTTGCATCCTTCCTTTCCTTAAAAAAAATTGAAGTGTAGTGTTCTAAAAAAGATCTAGCTCATATTTCTGAACAACGAATCTGTTCATATCTTCCTTTGGGAGAAGCTGATGATCTATTCAAATGATTTATCAAAAAAAATGCAGAGGGTGCTTGGGTGAGAGTTATACTTGGAAGGGTGACCCCATGGGAAGTACTCGTGTGTGCATCCCTCCTTTCTTTATAAAAATATATAAATTGCGGAATAAGTGTTAAAGTTTTGGTTATCTGCGCGTTAAATGCATCCATTTTGTCAATAAAACCTTTACCTTATCAAAAAAAAAATGCATCCATTTTGTCTGTAGTTTGACCATAACAGCTACATCAGCCGCTTAATTTCTGGGTTGAGAGAATGCTTAACCGTCTTATTTCTTGTGAAGAATTGAAGATTTTGCTTCTGGCTTAATCCTGTAGCTTGGGAAGATAAACTATAGAAAATAGTTGTTTTTTTGTGTGTATATAATAGTTGTCTTATTGGGTTAGAGCCTGATTTGTACTTTCATTAATTGGATGATGAATATGTATACTCTTCATATTGAGGATCTAGGCCTACAAATATTATGTATAGTTTAGTAAATTATTAGAAAAGACTCTGTTGTCTTGGGGGAGCCAATTTCTTTGGCTGGCTCCTATAGTATATAATAGATTAGAATATAGCTCTTGACTAGGACTAAACTCACTGTGCTTGAGCTGAATTGAGAAAGAAACTGTCATTAGATTTGTTACACATATTTTGTCCTACGGAAGAAATTACAGAGTTGTTTAAGGAAATAAAAGATTGTATTATTTGGATAATATTTTTATTATCCCTATTTTGATTAGCAATAAGCTAAACTTAATATTTAAGGTTTTTAGTGACTTAGACAGGAGGTCCTTTACCTCCCTTTTTTCCTGCTAGTCTTACGGTTTATGTTTTCATTTGAGATGGGCTATATGAGAGAGATCTGATTTGTTTGAGGAATTTGTCGTAAGTTGTCCAATTTCCTCTATAAATAATTTTTGAAATACTACTCCTTTCATCCTATGTTATGTGATGGTGTACGTTGAGTCTAACTTGTTATTCTTTTTGGTAAGCAAGGTAATATCTTGTATATGGATGACTAGCAACAAGGTTGTGCTGGAGCATTGAGCCAATTGCAATTTACAGGCTTCTGTTAGTTATAACAGAGTACGTAAGGAGTTGAAAAAGTCAAACATGGCCTCAATGTCTTGAGAAACATTTACATTTGTGATGATGTCTCAAAAAGATAGCAACTGAGTTTCTCTTAACAGTGGGTTTGCATTGGGAATCACCATTGAGCCTATACTTGTTTACTCTAATTATGGATGAGCTAACTAACCATATACAAGAGGTCTGATGGTGTATGCTATTTGCAAAAGACATTAAATGATGGAAGTAATGAGATTTATAGCAAAAAGCTTGAACTACGGAGAAACACTCTAGAGAATAAGGATCTTAAGATAAGTAGAAGACAAAGTATATGCTCTACATGTTTAGTAAGCGCAAGAAGATTGAAGTTGATGTGAGATTAGACGGGATTACGTTTCCTAAATGCAAACAATTGAGATATCTAGGCTTCATTTTTTATATGGAGACATGAAATTACTACAAATAGGATCAGAATGGGATGCTTGAAATAGAGTAGTGGTACTATAGTATAATGCACTAGGAGGTTACTTACCAAAGTGAAAGGCAAATTTTATAGAATGGGAAAGAAGATTGGCAATGTTATATGGGAGTAAAGCCATGGTGAGTGCAGGTGTTAAAAAGGGGATGAGATATACCTAAAATCTCTTGGAAGGAAATTGTCTTGAAAGGCCTGTAATTTCTTGGAATCAATGAAAGAATTTTTCTTATATACGCGATACCAATTAGTGGGGAATATATTTTAGTTAAGTTAATACATTTACTTAGTTCCTATATTTTCCAGGAGTCTTTTAGCCTTTGTAGAGATTCTTATGCCAATAGAAATGTAGAGAACTTCTAATACTTTTCATTTTTATTTTTTTAAGTATAATGTTGGCATGAGATGGATTTATATCGGAAACCTGGTTAATGCAGATTCATATAGCCAACAACTTGTTTCAGATTGAAGCTTAGTCGTTGTTAAGATGGATGTGCAGTCATATAAGTTTGGACAATTTATAAGTGACCCCATTAGGCAAATAGTGAAAGTAGCACATAAAGAGGATAAATTGAGAAGGTCGCTTGATGTATTATGTTGATCTCCAGATATACTTGGACTATATGTGCAAAAACATGGTGATTGAAGGTCTTATGGTACGAGATAAACCTAAATCACATGATTGGAAGTTGTCTTAAAAGACAATTTCTTGAAATCCATGCAGACTTGGCGCATAAGAAGCCACAATGAGAAAAAGATCCTTATAGGTCATGCCAGTTAGTTCGGGTTAAGGTTTAGTCATGTTGGTAAATCTACATTCGTTAGGAGTCTTTTAATCTTATTAGAGATAAAACTTCTACTGTGATAGATCTGAAGCTTTTTAAATATTGGATTTATAGGGGTCTAAATGGAGTGGCGTGATTAATGAGAATTCATACAGCTGGCTCTAACGAGCTTGTGATTTAGTTATTGTTGTTATTATTGTTATTGTTCTATCCTAAACAGAAAGATAAGTGGCAATACAACCTACCTTTCAGTCTGCTCTCTTTAAGGTTTTATGCAGTTCCAACTTTACATAGTATGTGCTTGGGTCAGATAAGACCCAGCAGAAAAAAGAGAGCATTAGAAGATATTTTCTTCTTCCTTTCCCCTGAATTCACTGACCCTCTCTGGCTAAAGAAATGAATTGGATAACTTTGGTGACTCAATATTTTGGACATGTATGTCCATGTAGTCACCCCATCTGTGTTGGTGAAATAATAGTAGGAAGCCTAAAATATGTGTTGGGCATGCGCTGGATGCATATATTGGACAGCCAGTCCTTATATCTCTTTCAGTTTATGTTTTTTGACTTTCTACTAATGGGACATCATCAATTTGACATAAAAATGATGAAAATAATATAGAATTGGGAAAAAGGAAGCCCCTGATTTCCGCTCAGAGCTAGTTTATATAATTGTAGCTTGACTACTCTGAGATCTCAAATATATTTTGATTCTGATTAGCTTCGTGACAGTCCTCAGATGAAGATGAGACTAGTAATCGTGGAAGAGACTCAGTGACTGAAGACAACCAAGACAAAAACACGGGAAAAGTCTTGACAGTATCTGCCATTAGTTCTTGGTGTCGACTGGTCAAAGAGGAGCAGAAGAAGGAAGCATTTGTTTGTGTATTAAATGCTTATCGAGCAGCATGCCGCTATGGGGCTGAATCCGTTGGCCTTAGGTTTCAGAATGCTGAAACATTCTGCAGCTTAGTAATGTCCGTTCTTTCCGAGGCAGATAATATATTTCGAGGGCTTCTGGGACTATCATCCTCCAGTTACAAGAAAGAAGCAATATTGAAACTGAAGGATACCCCACAATGGGTTAATGTGAAACCTCTCGTGAAATCTTATTTAAGGAGTACATTATCTCTACTGGATCAGGTTACTGATTCAGACATTCTGGCTTTCGCTTTGACTCGATTCAGGGCTTCTTTACCATTCTTTGCTGCTTTCCCCTATCTTTTGCAGAGGCTCATTAAGGTACGTTATCTTTAGCACTTGATTTGTAAGAACAATCTTTGACACGGGGTTTGAAGATATCTGATGCATATGCTATCCAGATTGACTATTGAAATTCTAGAAGCACTTACCTACACACACCCACACCCACACCCACACCCACATATATGTATGTACTACACTACTACTCGAGTCCATACACCTGCTTATAAGCTTCTAGTGTACTACTAGTGGAACTACTAGTTTTGCTGTTTTATTTTATTATTTAATTTTGTTTCTTCTGTTTTTCCATGTATGATGTATGCTTATGTGAATCATATTAAACAACCGTAAGCTGCATTTGCATGTATATGCTGTGGGTTCCTAGCAAATATATTCTTAATTGGTACTCTCTCATGAACCTCAAATATGGATGTGCACCAATTTATTACCATTGTGGTTTATCTTTTTCAAGAGAGTTGCATATGTAATTAGTTTACTACTAATAAAAATGTATCAGTAGAACTTATATTCACATTGTAAAATCCTATGATTTGCAATTTGAAGTTTTGTTAATGTTGTGAAGCTCCACTGGCTTGTGATGCTAATAAGACCTTTAAAATAGTTGAATATATGCTGATTCCTATGTTCTTGGCATTTACATTGAACAGACGACAGTACATTTGTGGGCTACAGGTGGGGGGATGCTGGCATCCGCCTCTTTTTGTATTGTACGGAATGTGGCCTCTCTATTTTCAACTGATTGTTTTGACAATTGCTTAGCAAAAGCTTTTGTAGCTTATCTTGCTCAGTCCAGAGCAAGAGAGATTGTCAATAACAAACATTTGCAGTTCCTAAGAAATTCCTTGGCTGACTTGTGCTCCCTAGATGTTCAAAAATCATTGCCTAAAGCCACGGCATCTGTTCGTCAGCTTTCCAAGATATTGCAGTGGGGCTTGCGTACTAAGAAAAAGGTAAATAAAATTGCGCCATGGCTTTTATTGAACGAAGTAGGAAAAATGTAGCCTCAATAGTAGCTAGGGTTGTAAATGTAGCTTCTTGACTATTTTTATCATCTTATGGTGCAGGAAGCTCTTAAAAGGATCTGCAGTTGGGAGTATGCTAATTGTATTAATCTCTGGGTTGGTTTTATAGCAGCCAATATTCAGGATTATGATCTTCAGCCTCTTTTCTTCACTATGGTTCAACTTATAAATGGAGTGGTGGGACTGTTTCCTGGACCAAGATATTTCCCTTTAAGACTCAATTGCATTCAATGGCTTAATGATCTGTCCAATTCCACTGGAGTTTTCATCCCTATTGCTTCATTTGTGTTGGATGTGTTGGAATACAAAATAGTCAGAGAGGGTGGAAAACCTGGACCTGCTCTCTCCTTTCAGTCCGTTGTAAAGGTTGGTTGATGTTAGGATCAAAATGACAATTTGGAAACTGAGTTATCTTTACGTATTTGTGTCACCATTTTAAATTGCAAATGAACATACTGCAGTTGCCAAAAAATTGCTTGAAGTCTCAAATGTTCCAAGACGAATGTATTACATCTGCAATTGAACAACTGTCGTCACACTTTTTGCAATGGAGCTATCATATTTCTTTCCCCGAGTTAGCGACTGTTCCACTCATTCGTCTGAAAAAGTTTTACGAGACGAAGACAAAGGAAAGTCTACACCGCGCTATTAAACATTTGATAGAGCAGGTACTCAACCATCTTCGATTTTTGTGATGTTTAGTTACCTTGTATACACATTCCATTCAGAAACCAGCACGTGGATGCAGTTTTTGTTAAAATTAAGAAGTATGCTGGAGAATGCAGCTTTAAACAGGATTTGCACCCAAGTGCCCAACTTAAGGTCAATTATGTTTAGGAATTAATTTTAGCTTAAGTGCATCTAAGCAACCATCTCATGCTCATTTCACTTATAACATTGTTCTCCTCTACATAAGTATGAAAAGTGAATATCATTGTCCTGTTTAGATAAAGTAGTTAGTGTGGAGAGTCATTCTCATGCCTCAAATTGCAAGACTTGAAGTACACGGGAGATGAATGTTTGGTAGTTGTAGAGTTCTTTTTGTGATAAGTTAGTTCTGGTATGTTACAGAGTTAAAATTATCTTTTCCTGTTCTGCGATCCTATTGGTATGCCTTGTAAAATTTGGGACTAAAGCAAAAACTTGCTGGATAACAATAAGTTGTTTTGTGGCATTAAAATTAGTAGCTAAAATGACAGAGTTGTGCTCGTGCTTTGTGTAGCTAGGAAGGACAAGATAGCCTAGAAAGACTTGCCAAGTCAATTTACCTTATGGATGCCTTTTTTTTTCTGTTTAATCCATTTAATTTTTGAATCAGTTTCTATCTTAACATCTCTTTCTTCCTCGCGTTCCACCGTTTCTTCTGTTTTAAGACTTTTTTCAGTTTCTTAGTTATACTGCCTATATAATAGACACCTGTAGGACAAAGTTGTGTTTGTGCCTTGTGTGGTTAGGAAGGAAAAGATAGCTTTTGTTCATGTTTAGTCCCCTTCACTTTTTAAGCAGGTTCTATTTCAATGTCTCTTTCTTCCTCAAATTGCACCCTTTCTGTTTTAAGGCTTCTTTCAGTTTCTTAGTAAGAATGGCTGAGGGTATATTGCCTAAATAGTATACATTAATAAATAAGAGAATATTAAGGATCCAAGCTATAAAATTTTCTCAGTAACACTTAAAAGAAAAGAAATTTCTCAATAACAATCTCTTGTCTTACTGTCAGTTGCTTTTCATGTCTCTCTTGTTTTGAAGGCTTTCTTTTGCCTCTGCAGGTGGAGAAAAATGTTGATTTTGTGAAAAGGAGAAGAGGTGAGGTTGCCTTTTCGCCAAATGATCATCAATCTGTTGAAGCATTTCTTCAGGTGTGCCCATTTCCTACTAACTAGTAACAGTTATCTTTCAGATTGGGGAGGTATACTTTATTTAATTTAAATAATTGTTCAACGTGCAGTTTGAGAAGTCCAGTCTCAGTTCTCCATTTACTCAGTACTACAGAAGTGTACTTGAAAAGGCTGCTCTAAAAGGGTCACATAAGAATGAAAAGATTAGGTACTGTTGCGCTGCTGAAGTTTGGTTTAATTTCTTTAAATAGTCTAATATCTTTGTGGTTTTTTGCGGTTTGTCTACTGTAAGGGCTGAAAATAATGCTAATGGCCAAGGAGATAATTCATATGATTGCTATATTAGTCTTGTACTTTTTTTTGGTTTACTGGTTCTCATGTTAGTGCTAAATGATCTCTTTTCTTTATCCCTGGTTCTGGTTAGTATATGGTTCAGATATCTGTAGGGGGATCTATCAACTACCCATTTGTCTGTGGGTGATAATGCACTGATTCTGTGTATTCTACTGCAGTTTGCCAAGACGAGAGAAGTCTAAGCGTAAAAGAGTGCAGCCCGTGGAAAATGCAGCGAATGGAGGTTTGATTAATGGTTCAGGCCACAAGGATCTCGATGCTGTTAATGGAACAAAGGAGAGGGTAAAAAGAAGAGCTCTTGAAGCATAATCGTGTTACCATTTTTTTGTTTGCTATAATTTTTGAAAATTTTCTAATTAGCCTTTCCAGTTGGAAATTTTGAGCCTCGCCGCCTCCTTGATAATCCCTGTTGTATTGCTATTCTCTTCGTGTTACTTATTGTTCGAAAAAAGAAAATAGAGGAATGACTTGCCGCTGTTGAGCCGGTTTGAATCGTTCATTGCTTTATTTGTTTATTCATTATGTTTGTGGCTTTCCAATTTCAATTACATTAGGGGTATGTTTGGTACGAAGGAAAAAGTTTTTCATGGAAAATCTTTTCCTAGAAAATGCTTTCATGGAAAATAAGTGTTTTTATTACTTATGTTTCCTTGTTTGGGTGGTTAGTGGAAAATTTTTTTGGAAAATATTTTCTAGTGTTTGGTTAGAGCGTATAAAATATTTTTAGGAAAATAATTTTTTATGCTACTTTCCTCAACCCACCTTCCCCAAAATACCCATGTTTCATNNCACCCCCCCCCCCGCCCCCCCCCCCCCCAGCCACACCCCAGACTCTATTTTCTTTAAGAATTTAATTATTCTTTTAAAAATTCATACAAATCCAAAGTAACTAATGTACTACTTACTTTTTCACACAAGAACAACGTTACAATTTGAGTTGGATAACTAAAAGAAAATACCTTATTTTGTTAAAAAAGAAAGTATCTTTTCTACAACATGAAAGGAAGTTACTCATTTTGTTGAATGAAAGAAAATACTTTTTCTACATCATGAAAAGAAAATACTCAATTTGTTGATGAGTATATTTTTTCTACATTATGAAAAGAAAGTACTCTTTTTGTTAAAACGAAAGAAAATACTTTTTTTACATCATGAAAAGAAAGTACTTACTTTGTTTCTATTTCAAGAAAAAATACTTAGTTTGTTGAAATGAAAGGAACTACTCTTTCTACATCATACAAATAAAGTACTCGTTTTGTTGAAATAAAAGAAATTACTTTTTCTACATTATGAAAAGAAATTACCTCTTTTTTCGAAAAAAATACTTTTTCTACTCCGAAAAAAGAAAATACTTAATTTGATGAAATGAAAGAAAATACTTTTTCTACGTCATAAAAAGAAAGCAATCATTTCGTTGAAATGAAAGAAATTACTTTTCTACATCGTAAAAAAAGAAAATACTCATTTTTGAAAAACTATACTTTTTCTATTCCAGGAAAAGAAAATACTTAGTTTGTTGAAATGAAGAAACAAAAAAATTCTACATCATGAAAAGAAAGTACTCGTTTTGTTGAAATGAAAGAAAATACTTTTTTCTACGTCATAAAAAAAGTAATCGTTTTGTTAAAATGAAAGAAAATAATTTTACTACATCATAAAAAGAATATACTCATTTTGTTTGTGAATACCTAATTTTTGCACCTTTTAATCCCCCATAAAGATTGTTTTAGGATAACTAGTTTTAGGCTACGCTCTTTGCGCGTGTATCCCATATCAATGAATATATAATTTTTTAATCTCATAAATAATATTTAAATAATATCTTTGGTTATAAAACAAAAAGTAATTTCTTGAATGATGAATGTTGATCATTTAGCTAACACAAGAAAGAAAAAGATCTTTCTTTATAAAAATCCCTAAATGCTTTATTCTTATTTTTAAAGACCTCTTTGAAAATATCTTATGAAAGTTGTTACGTATTATTTATGTGATCTAATATTAAAAACAAGCAAGTAACGCATAAATATTCTTATCAAGATTCTCTAAAGATTTGTCAAATAAAACCTATTGAAAATTAATTTTTTTTTTATCTCTTTAGAGATTTGGAATAACTACAAATATTGAGTTAATATTTTACAAACAGATAACTTACAGATATATATATATATATATATATATATAAAATACCCAGAGTTGTCATTTGTTGGATAAAAAAATAATAATTAATAAGTTCATTTATAATACAAAAATATTATCTTCTGTTGTCTTATCCTTATTATTTCAAGTTGGCATTTTTTACCAATTTGACTTTAAGTGTTATAATGTAATTAAATTTTCTCTATTGTTTAATTTTTTTTTAGCGTCAATCTTCTCCTTTATGTAGCCTAAGGGGTCTTTTAATTAAAATTGCAGCGGGATTATAATGCAAAAGTTATAATATGGAAATCAAGTAATAACAAAAATATTTATGAGATATACTTTCGATTAATAAATATTTAATTTATTGAATGAACAATAGAATGTATGGAGTATAATATACAAAATGTGCTTGATTTTTCATATATAAACTTGGATAGAATTTTATTTTTAACTTTAACCTTAGTCTTCTTAAAAGATTTTGAAATAAGCGCTTTGGCGAAGGATATTTTGATATTTGATTATTTATCCTGGGATAGCTAATCCCCAAATTATTATCTCACATTGAATGTAGAATAAAAATAGCAGCTAATTAAGATTGTGGTATAACTATTCTCGCAAGTTTTTATACCAAAAAAAAAAAAATCTATCCAAACACGAAATTAAATAACCCCACATTTCTTAGTTATTTTTATCTAATTATTGGCGTAATTTACGAAATATTATACAAAAATTGATAAAGAAAAAATACTTAATTATTATTCTAATATTTGAGTGTAATTTTTAAATATTACACTAAAAATTGATGAATAATAAATATTATTTGAATATGAAGGGAGTTCAAGTATATATGGAAGTGTATTGTCTATTATGTATCTATTTTTATTTATACTATTATTCAATGCTAAAAAAAAGTCTATAAATTAAAAGTAAAATAATTTGTACTTTGATTTCAAAACACCATCGTTGTCGGGAACTAAAATTTTCATGGAAGACAATAAGCTTCGTAATCGGATTGTTTATTTTGTTGGAGAATCTTTTACATGTTTTCTTTTTCTTATTATAGTATTCTTGTTAAATCCTGCATATTTAGNCTAAAAATTTAGTGATTTTTAAAGTACTAAATATTAGGAAAGTAACTTAAATTACAATTTTATCCAATGTGAAATCTATTTTTAAAGGGTAAAAAAGGCGAACGACATTTCACTAAGGGCCTTCGTGCTTTTAATATAGGATAATTTTAGCTTATTCTTAATTAATCTTTCTCATTTGTGTGAACTTTTGTTTGCAATTGCTTTTCATAAAATATAAAAAAATATACTATTTTTTCCTTATTTGTGTATCTTTATTTGCATTCCTTAATTAAAAAGTACCAAAAATATTTTTTATCTTTTATTTATATATTTTAGTTTGCATCTTTAAATCATATATACCTAAAAGATTTTTCTTTCTACTTGTACGTTTTCTTTAGGATTAAATATATTATAGTATAATTAGGGGTTAAGGGATTTGGACTAGTGTATTTTAAAGAAGAATTTTCAGAAATGACTATTGTCTAGTGTCTATTAACTTCATATAGCTATCATATACATAATTACTTTCTGGAGCTACCTTTCGGTTGTTATGGTAATGTATTCGATGTATTCGAGCTATTGTATTCATGAATACAGTGGCAAAAATCGGCTAAAAAGTAGGGTAGTCCAGCTATCAGCCATTGTATTCACATGTATTCATACCATGTATTTATGAATACAACGTAATAATAGGTCTCTTCAGTTATTTAGTAATGGAAAGCTGCTGATTTAACGAGATACACTCCTAATATAACTCACATAAATCAATTATAACACATAACATTATCAATCCAATTAATGAGAAGATTTATCAGACGCTAAACACAAAAAAACAGAGCATTCTTCAGAGTTTCAGTCCCTCTTTTTTTTCTGATACAATTCGAGTTTTTTTTTCTTGACATTGTTCGATGTATTCATTGTATTCACAATATTTTATTTATTCCTAATACATGGTATTACTATCTTATTAAGTATATTTCATTGGTTGTATTCGTTGATTTTCTATTTGTATTGAGAGAATTTTACTGTATTTCATTGTACTGTTGTTTTAAATACATATGGATACAGTTAGGTTGAAAATACAGATGAATACAGTTAGAACTAACAATGTATTTAAAAATGTTATTGTATGAACTCAAATACATATAAATACATCCAAATACAACAGTCAAATCACCGTACAAAATAAAAATCAGTATATGCCTTATCGAATACATATAAATACATCTAAATACAAGAAGAGAAAACCACCGAACAATAGACATTTCTGAAAATTCCTCTAAAAACTTCCAAGCTACGCAGAAATCAGAACCTCCTTAGCTTTCTAGTCTTCGTTCCCCCCAAACGAATCAACTCTTCCGTTGGAATTGTCAACCGGCCACCGGAGTTACAAAGTTCGTGATAAAGGAGAATCGTTGTTCAATGTAGCGACGTGATTTTTGCTTGGAAACATTATCTAGCGTGTCTGCCAAGTCTCCAACAACTTCCTGTTCGGCATCCAAATTCTCTTCGTCAAGAACATTATCGGACAATTCGTCCAAATCTGCCAGGAACGTATCAGCAAGAGTGCCATATGAGAATGAAGCAAATTAGTTTGATCAGTCTGAAAAGAACATACGCTAGGGTCTAATAAGGAGGTAGTTTTATATAAAGAATGAGAGAAAAAATATTAGAGAGTGTATTTAATGGCTTAATAGTATGAAGTGACTATAAATACATATTTTGCTATAAAAACTAAATGGTAGCTATAGAAAATAATATTTTAAAAGGTTTTTATTTATAATAAATAGGCTGTAAAGCTTTGCTATAGGAGGTAGAAATTTCAATTGAAATTGAGCCAAAATTAGCCCAAAATTAGAAGCCCAAAGAGTCCACAGATCCGGTCCAAATGGGGGCTGCCAGATATGGGGCTAAAACGGCGTAATTTTGGTTTAAACTACGTCGTTTTGGTTATGAATCTAGATGAAATTACAACCATTCATTTTGCTCAATCCAACGGATCCTATATGTTAACTTATTCCAAATAAAACGTTTGGAAAATCTGATTTTTGCCCCATTCACTATCCAAACCTTAGCTCCCTGACTCTTCTCTCATTCTCCCACACCCGCCGCACTCTCCACTGCCACCACCATGAGCCGCCGCCGGTTGTTGTCCAAACCACCTCATATTCTCACCATCCAATTCTCTCAACCTCCTCTTTCCAAATTTCCAACCCAAATCCCTCAAAACCCGCTCGTATTCCATATTTTTAGATCTAAGAAACCCTACCCGCCACTTTTTTTCTGAAAA